CGTTCTATTCGCTGTTTTTAAAGTGCTGCTTGTAGCAGAAGGAAGGGGGGGGGATGTCACCGTGACCCTCTTGGATGAAGGTCAGGATTAAAAACAATGTAATAAAATAGATCAAGACGTCCTTGGAGAAACTGAAGTGTGGAGAACTTAAGGATAGCCACACTACGAACCCAGAGAGCGACACACATATTAACTACCAGTGTGGGTTTGGTGACACACTAAACTGTGTTTAAGGTAATTCAGAAGCAAAATCTTCCTGTGCCAGGGAAGGAGAAGGCATGTGGAAATATTTGTGCCCAAGGCACATGAACCCTGAACACCTCCCTTATTCTCTTAGAACGGCAGTGGAGCCCACCTGAGAGGTACCAGAACTAAGTTCTGGTGAGTTCTGGCTGGGGGGGGGGAGCCCTGGTCCTATAATTAGTGCTGAAGTAAGATTCAGTTACTTCTAAACTACAAATCAGGAAATCCCTGGTGTAAATTTAGTCTCTTGCCACGAAGTCACCTTGTTCACCCCACTCTGTCTCAGACTCAAACCTTCCTCTGCAATATCAGAATAGTAACACCAACCTTATAATAATACTTGGTTCCTGCAAGGATCACAAGATATTGTGTAGCTTCAAGCACTGTATAAAATGCTGATTATTATGAAATGGAAGGGAGACACAATTTTTATGTGCGTGTTTCCTTCCATATTTACACTGAGTATTTATTGCTTGGCAGGAGGGAGCAGGAGCAATTCCCCAAGTAGGGGTGATGATGCAACAAATTTACTAGCGGTGTGGGATAACCCATCTCACTGAGAACCCTGCACAGCTGTGAGGGTCACCATGACACTCCCAGCATGCTCTAGGGAAGAAGGAGTTGAGCCAGAAATATATATATAAAACCTGCAGTCCATCCTGTGCAGAAACGCCACTATTTATCTTAATAGCTCTTCCTTGGCTGCAGTCAAGAAAAGGAGGGGACCATGGTCAGGAAGCCTCCATTAGTGGTTCATCTGTATTGTCTGGCTAAAGCAGGGTGATTCTCAGCAAAGTAAAAGAGATGCAGCATAAAGAACAGGAGCTCCTCTTCTCCATGTACACCTCAGCTTGGATTTAATTAGCACCTCAGGGAAGAGCTAGGATCACACACTGGGTCTTCCTGGCATAAGAGTAACATGGCAATGTGGAGCGGGGTGCCTGCCATGGGGACCAGGAAGATGGTTCACCAGAAGGGTAGGAAACACCCCATTTTAGCTCCCAATAAATGCCCATTTTAACTCACAAGAAATGTCCTCGGTTTCTTGTGCTGTCACCAACCTTCTGCAAATAGTTTCTATTTTTGCCCAAAGGAGAAGTCATTATTTCTTTACTTTTATTTCACAACAATTTGATACTACCACTTCATTGTGAATAAAAACCACTAAGTGGCATTCTTGCACGGGCATCCAAGGAAGGTAGATTCTGGGTGCAAATGTGGATCCCCAAGCTCTCTTGTCAGTAGGTCCTTCCTTTCCCCCCACCACAGGCATATGGCCCTTAGAATATTGCCCAGAACACAGTATGGCTCTTGAGCTAAGAAAGAAGCTGTAGTGGCTGTGGCTGCTGGAAGGATGAGCAACAGTTCAAATCAGGAACTCGAATCTGGCTATGCCTGTTGAATCTCCTGCTTGTGCTTCCTGTTTTCTCCTTCTTTTGCCTTGTTCATCCTTTCACTTAGCATTGTTTCCCAAACTTGGGTCTCCAGCTGTTTTCGAACTACAATACCCATCATCCCTGGGAAACACTGACTTAGCTCATGGCACATGTCAGTTAGTAGTCTTGAATTCTGCTACTCCAGAATTTCCACTTGATCCCTATCTGCCTGGCTTCACTCACACCCCCATTGCAGCCCAGCCCCACCTGACCCCAGTAGCCCAACTTACCCTTCTGGCAAGCTTTTTGGCTCCTTTAAGTGGAAAATATAGCATTCCTCATTGAAAGTTGTGCATTTATGGCCTTCCTTATCCCCATGCAATAAAACAAGGGAAATACCCACCTTGTTTCATTGCCTCCTTTAACAGGGCCAGATACGCTGAATGTACTTTTCTGAAGTTCTCACATACACACAACACAGCACGAGCTATCGCCATTGGCCATGGGATCTTCCATCCCTGCCAAGTTCGGGTTTTCGTGCCAAACACCTGCTTTTCCTTCTACACAGTTTTAACAACCAAGAGCTATTTGGACCTCTACACCAAGATATAGTGCACAAGTTCCCAGAGCAAAGCAGAGATTTTCTTAAAGCTAAGGACCCACTTGGCTTTCGGAAAGCTTAAATTTATTCTGGGAGCCTTATAAAATGTCTCCGGCAGAACAGAAGTGTAGTTACATGAATGGGTAACAAAGAGGCCTTTGGCCTGCTCAGGTCACAGTGGGTTACCAACAGCCTTTGAGGAAAGACATTTAATCCCTACAGGCTTCCAGTAGAGAGAAGTGTGTGTGTGTGATAATTTTAGAAACATTTAAGTTCAGGCACAAATCTTATCTGGGAATCGGGGTCAGCTATTATCAGGGAACGGGAGATTTGCCAGCACCTCTGCAGCCAGGAACTCCACCTTTACATGCATATTATGTCAAAATACCATTTTGTAATTTGGACTCATTTCGAAGAAACTGAGCCAACGGTTTCTTTCTTTCTTTCTTTCTTTTAAAAAACTAGTTTCAATTCCCAGTGCTAGCTGACATGTCAGCTGAACCGACAGACTGCCAAGCAACCAAATGGCCTTAACTGTAATTTAACCATCTCATGCCTGCTGGGACCTTAAGACCCGTTCTGCATCAGTCATGGAGCAACTTACTCAGTAACCCTGATATTTAGTGTTGGGAGAGTTTAGAGACATCATTATGAAATACTCTGGAGCTTGTTATGACCAGATTGTGAGTGTGGCATTTGCTTGATGAAACAAGGATGGAATGGGAAATGTATGGAAGAAGTAGGGCACAAGAGAAGGGGAGCAAAAGAGGAGACAGCAGTAGACCCTGTAAAAATGGACACCAACTGTGGCATCTGTTTCAGTACCTAAACATTGCTGTGCTAGCATGGTACAGTGGTACCTCGCAAGACGAATGCCTCGCAAGACAAAAAACTCGCTAGACGAAAGGGTTTTTTGTTTTTTGAGCTGCTTCGCAAGACGATTTTCCCTATGGGCTTGCTTCACAAGACAGAAACGTCTTGCAAGTTTGTTTCCTCTTTCTTAACACCGTTAATACAGTTGCGACTTGACTTCGAGGAGCAACTCATAGAACGTGGTGTGGTAGCCTTTTTGAGGTTTTTAAAGACTTTGGTGATTTTTGAAGCTTTTCCAAAACTTTCCCGACACCGTGCTTCGCAAGATGAAAAAAATCGCAAGACGACAAAACTCGCGGAACGAATTAATTTCGTCTTGCGAGGCACCACTGTACTTAGTATAGCCTACTTATTCAGATTTCTGTATTAGTACCCCTAGTTTTAATGCAAATCTGGATTATCTTCATCATGCATTTTATCAACACAACTGCAATGTATTTTGTCATATAATTAGCAATCCCATATTCTGTTTTGTTATGTGTCTTGCAAAATCCAAAGATTTGTCTAAGTGAGGAAAAAGGCATCACTCACGTCCTCATTAACAGACCATCTATATGTATAAAACAGTTGAAGTATTGCAAATAAAAACAAATCATCGTGCATGTATATTGCCGACCAAGAAAAGTGGCACCCCGCACAGTTAAGAAACACTGGGGATTTCATCAGGGAATGTTAAGCAACCTCAGAAGACAACAACATAAATGGATCATAGCACAGTCAGCCCCACAAAGGGCCGTGATTCACAGTTTCCAGGAGTTGGATAATAGAATGACAACACATGAAACAAAAACCATATGGGCCTCGGGGTTCTCATGAGAGCAGGCATTTCCCTGCATGCTTACTACCCATGAAAGCAGAGAGAAGGCATTCACAAGCAAGTCCATAGTCATAGGGGAGGGTAGTTACAGAGGAAGCCAAGCACAGAATCAAAAGTGCTGAGCACCTCTGGGACAAGCAATTCCTACTGACATGCTCTCTGTGGATGCACTAATTTGGGCACCATTCAGGGTGCTGGTTACCATCTTTCAATAAAAGCCCTAAACAGTCTGGGTCATATAATCCCATCAGGGAACATTCAATACTGGAATTTCCTTCAACAGCTGCAAACGGAAGCAACATCTTCATAGCGGCACCATATATTTGGAATTCACTCCCAAGGAAGTCCAGCATTCTCTATTTCTCCCTATTTTTCGGAAGCAGAGTACACTGTTTTAGTGTCACCTGGCCTTTGGTACTGGATAAAGGAATGAATTTTTAATATTGCATTTACTCTGCTATTTATTAACGAGCAAGATGCCAGCTGTTGTAGTGGCAGGGTAGGAAAAAATAACACCAGGGGAGTCATGTTGCCTCCTGTAGCTGGCTTGCATTATCCCTCACAGCTCAGTGGGAGCCACTGAGAGCCAGCCCAGCCCCTATCCATGTAGTCCTGCCCTGGATTTCATGTCTTGGTCATGCTTGGATGGGATAACTTTTTGGGAGAGTGGGACAGAATGTTGGGGGGAAGTTCTTACTTGTAGAAGCGCTTAAAAATCTCACTGTTCTTTTTTGTTTGATTGTCTTTTGGTATTTGAGTGTTCCTTAGATTACTATGTTTAGATTATGAAATAGATGGTATAGCACAGATTTTCCCTTTAGTTTCCAGCTGTTTTCAGGCTACAGTTCCCATCATCCCTGACTGCTGGTCTTGCCAGCTAGGGATGATGGGAGTTGTAGTCCAATAACAGCTGGAGACCCAAGTTTGGGAAACACTGGTATAGCATAGTAGCTGAGAACCTGAGCTATGCAGAAAGGGGAGAGGGCCTAAGCCTTCTTGGGCGCTCAGAACTCACTGCGCAATCCATTGCCACTTCCTGTTCTGCGCTTCATTTATTATTACATTTATTTCTCTCCTCTTCACATTTTAGGCACGTCCAAAAGGAGAAGGCCTGACACCGTACCAGGGGAAAAAACGCTGCTTTGGTGAATACAAATGCCCCAAGTGCAAGAGAAAATGGATGAGTGGAAACTCCTGGGCCAACATGGGACAAGAATGTATCAAGTGCCACATCAATGTGTATCCTCACAAGCAGGTAGGGCTGTTACAGGTGCTCCTCCATATGGTTCAAGTGAGCCTCCAAAAACTCAATATACAGAGTGCAGCATGCATGGGCTGTTTACAAGAGGGCTTTGGCAAGCATCCCCACACTGCTCTTGCAGCCCCAGCCCCCTGTCACACTAGGCCTTTCAGGGACAGAAAAGGTTTCCCTCCCCTCAATTAAACGTATACATTGGAAGAAGTGGAACGCCAAGTAAGTTTCAATGCAATAGACTGAGACATAGCAAGACTGAGACTATGAGCAAGAGTGCTTACATGATTACTGAAAATTGTATATTCCAGTAATGCTTATTCATATTTTATTATGGGAAGCACATCAAGAATGTTAGAAACAATGTCGAAACTTTTTAATTTTTAAAAAAGCCAACAGCAACAAAACTTTTCAAACAAACAAAAGACATTTTCTTCTTATTCAGAATATCTAAAGTAATTGTAAACAACTGTCAAGAATTTAAGTAACATTTTAATCCTCTTATAGTTGTTTCAGTTATCTGATATTGAGCCCAGTCATAGTTTAGTTTAAAAAACAATTAGATGTATTTGACAATTACTTCTAGTTAATGTCAAAGAATAAGAAATGTTTGGGATAATTTTTTATGGTACATTGGGGTCTAAAATAACACTCTGTTAATTCTTATAGGGTTTCCTATAGTAGATTTTATTCACACACTTTTCCCATTTATTATTTTTTAAAATGAAAAGTGAACTCATTTTTATTGTAATGTGCTGCTTTTGCTTATGTGCAATCTGGATGGGTGTGTGTGTGTGAGAATTTCCCATTAGTAGGGAGAGTGGAGGGTCCTGCCCTGGATTTGTTTTGTCCATATAGCATTTTTAAAATGAATCAATCTGATTCACATTTCCTGGCCTGGATTAATGTATAGATTGGAACACAGGTATCTTTTGGTTTTTGCACTTCTGCAAGTTCTTGACTAAACGAAGTATACCGAAATGTCTTGAAAACTTGTGTTTTAGGTATAATACAGCCCCCCCCTCAAATGTGTGCTTTGGGTAAAATGTGCACACAACTCTGCATTTTGTGAAAATAAAAAAATGCATTGAAAAATAATGCAAATTTCCATGCATGTTTTTCCCTTTTAAAAAAAATCATCACAGATTGATATGAAAATGAGGAGGAATAACTTATGAATAAACACACAGGAGACAGACATGGAGCAGAATTTGACTGATCTATCCATCCCATTAGACACATTCATTGCATTCAGTGGGGACTGGAGAGCACTGCAATACATTTTCACATGTATTATTTGCATGTATGAAATTCCATTGCTAGATTAGGACATTTCACCTAAGGATAGTCAACTTTGGTGTGGATGCTGTGACTGAAAAAATATGATGATATTTGTGTCTTTCATGGGCAGAGAATGTGGGGTGTATTTACCAATCTCTTTGAGAGTTATAATTGATGCAATTGCAGTCGTTAAATCTTGACAAGGATCTGTGCTTGTATAATCGGGAAGGTGAAGGGTGGAAGAGTGTCAGTTGTAAGAGGTAATGTTGGGGAAAGTGTATGACATTAAGTACGAAGAAAAGGTCATTTGGAAGAACAGAGCAAAGACCTCCCCTAGCCACAGAAAATATTTCAGTGCTCAGATAAAGCTTTCAGATTATTTTAAAGTAGGTCAAAATGAAAACTGATCCATTACAAATGAGACTGGAGGCTGTGTGACTAGCAAATGATGACACCATGCCAGAAATTTAGAATCCATTCCAAAGCACAGTCTCTGCTCCTTTGCTGGCAGCAACAGCAGAAACAGAGTGAAAGAAATCCCTTGTGTAGTTCTCCAAGATTATTGGGGTTCAGCAAAAGGGCTATAGCCATTAGGTAAAACCAGACACTTTGATGAATGGCTTGTTTACAAAATTTAGGATATGAGACCTGGCGGGTATAGGATGGTATATAAATTCAATAAATAAATAAAAAGTTGCTTGTGGGTTGTAGTCCTCACCTTGAATATATATTTATACAGAAAGGGAATTGTAGTATATTTTGACGACTTACCCTTTCCTCCTGCATGTCAGAGTTGGCCATTTTAGATTTCTGTGTGAGGGGGAGCTAAGCAATTACAATAGAAGGCAGCAAGATTCTCAGCATGGTTTAAAAGCCTGCTGTTGGATATATTCAACCTTAAATACCACACATTTTGAAATTGGATTTTTAATGGTTCATAACTGTTAGCAATTATATCACCACAAGTCAAGTAGTCATCATTACTACACTATGCAGCAGCATAGTCCCAGTAGACAGGGAGGAGGGATTGCTGCTGTCTGCCATGATGCCATCATTCTTGCCAGGCAACCCACTAGGTCTGTGTGTCTGCATATGGTGTTGGAAACACAGGATATGATAGCAGTTCTGTTGGTGCACCATCTAACAGTCTGCTTACCAAAGCTGGCCATGATAATCTTCATAGTGATGCTGGATTCTCCAGGGTTTACAAACTTGGGTGAGTTTCATACCTGACTGGAGTAGCTCAGGATTTCATGGCTACCATGACAACTGTGGGCCTGCCTCAAATGGTACCTGGTCCCACACACAAATTGTAGGGCATGTGCTTGACTTGCTGCTTTGTCCTGGGCTGGGACAATATGGTCTGATGGCGGAGGAAGTCGGTGCACTTCCCTTGTCATTGACAGATCACTGCCTGGTTAGGTTTAGTCTCTGGACAACTGCCCAACTCTCCAGGAAGGAGCTATTGAAATTGTCCATCCTTGGAGACTGATGAATCCAGGTAGAATCCTGATAGCTCCCTGTGTGGGTGGGAGAATTCCCACTGAAATAGATTGCAGTTCTGCCACTGTCCTGGTCAATCTGTGAAATACAGAAGTGGCCCAGTTATCAATTCTATTGCTTCTAAGCCCCTAGTGGAGCTTAGCTCTCCCCTGGAGATTATAAAACTCTTTGGTTTACTGAGGAGCAATGAAACAAGTGAGCAGACCACTAGAGTGAAAGTACAGGAAGATTCATAGCGAGCCCAACCAAAACAGCTTAGAACTAGTTATTGAGCCTGTTTTGTGACAATGATGTTAGCAAAGGAATCTTCATTTTCCACCACCATGGCATCTGCTCGATGTTGTCTGTTTTGTCACGGAAATTGCCTTAGTCATCCAGGTGGATAACCTGCAATGGAAAATGGACTGGGAGGGTTCTCTGCTGGTTCTCCTGGATTTCTTAGTGGTGGTCAAGTCCATCAGTTGTGGTACCCTTCTGGACCATCTTGAAAGGGTGGGGATTAGGGGCACAGTATTGAACCAACTCCATTGATTCATGAGAATTTGGACCCAGAAGATGGTGCCAAGGGACTGCTGTTCTTTCCCTTTGCTTGTGGGCTCTGGGGTCCTAGAAGGTTCCCTTCTGTCTCCCGTGCTGTTTAATATACACTGCACATGAAAATGCTGGTTGGGATGTGGGTCATGGAGTCATCAGTATCCTGGTGTGTCACTCAACCCTACCTCTTAGTTTTATATGATCCTAGGGAGGCAGTTGAATGGCTGAACTGCTGTTTGGTAGCTGTGAAAGACTGGATGAGGTAGAATATGCCGAAATATAATCCACACAAAACAGACATGTTGTTGGTAGGTACAGTGTCCGACTTTTAGTCTGGGTTCGCAACTTGTTCTGGATGGGGTCACACACCCCTTGAAAAATCAGGCTCACGGTTTGGGGGAGGGTACTCCTTGAATCCAATGCTATTATTAGATGTTCAGGTAGCACCTGACTTTTCCATTCCTGACGGAGTAGAATATTGCCATGGTGGTTCATGCCACAGTGACCTACAGATTAGGTTACTGCAAAACACTCTAGGTGGGTATGCCTTTGAAAAGCATTCAGGAACTGCAACTGGTGTTAAATGTCACAGCAAGGATGTTGATGGGTGTTAGGCATTTTTAGTCTATCATACCAGGATTTGAATAGGATGCAGGTTTGTTTTCAGCATCAATTCAAGGTGCTGGTGTTAATCTTTAAGGCTTGGCACCTGGGCACCTTGAGGACCATTCCATATGAGCCTCCCCACATGCTACAATAGTCATTTGAGGTACTAGTCCAGGCTTGCTAAGAAATTACCAGTGCTACGGCCTCCTCAGTAGCAGTGCTCATCCTGCGAGAAGCCTTGCCCGAGGCCCCTGCAATATATATATATTTGGATGAATGGTAAAATACCTAGCTGATTAAAAAGCCCTTCCACTTAATATTTCCTCCTTTTGATATTGATGCTTAACTCGGGTAGTTGCTTTGCAATTGATATTGCGGTATTGTGTTTTTATACATGATTTGGTTGAATTGTAGATTGTTTTATATTTTGTTGCTCTTTTTTAAAAAAGACAACAACTAAATTTCTTGTAAAAATAGGAGGGATAGTAAGCTTTTTAAAAAAATAATAATGTAAAAATAGTGTGTAGAACCATAAGGTAGCCAAAACTATAGCTGATCCTGACGGATAATCACATGCAGAGTTTAGAAATGGGGGACATGGCTCTCCTCATTCTCTAACTGTAATCTCTGACCCCTCTCAAATGATCTTCCCAGAAATTGTGAAACCTACCCAGCTTATTTGTGCTTGACATCTTGATGATTTAAGATCAAATTCTGAGAACCTGGGTTAAATATGAAAACGGCTATTTAAGATCAAATTCTGAGAACCTGGGTTAAATATGAAAACGGCTTTTCTCCATTGTTCCTTGCTCCATATGAAGGGAAGTGCATCCCATCTACAGCTGAAACAACAACACACAAGTTCTCTCTCTCTCTCTCTCTCTCTCTCTCTCTCTCTCTCTCTCTCTCACACACACACACACACACACACACAGTCTCTGATAACAGAGGCAGGAAGGCAAAATCTTAGTAGTCTGCATATGCAAAGCAGTCTGCATATATATCTTGGTAGAGATGGGCAAAGTAGTCACTTTTGCACACATTAATCCATTAATCCAATATATTCAAATATAAATAGC